CCCCCCCCCCCCCCCCCCCCCCCCCCCCCCCCCCCCCCCCAAAATGACTTAAATTGAGAAATCATCTCCATAATCATCATGAATTTCACATTTAAGGACGAAACAAACAAACAAATAAGAAAATTCAAATTACTTCAGTGAGGCAGTACTATTTCGTATTTAAAATATTTTTAATTCATAGCAAAATAAAGTGTCTCCAAAAAAAATAAAGCAATAATACACATGGCTACTAACCTTCTTCAGAAAAAAATGGAGAAAAGTTCTCACATTAATTTGGAAGCAGCAGTTTGTAAGGAGTCGATAACTCCAAACAGCTAGCTTGAACAACTGTGGTAGGAAAATAGCATATTTTACTGACTAATCTAATCCATTTCGAGCTGCATATCCGAGATTATTGTACCTGCAAAGGTTTGAGGTATACAAAAACAGAACAAAACAAAGATAACAACTATCGAGTATGCTTAATCAGAACTTTTTAAATGCTGTCTTTGTGTATGTAGCCCATTATTTGGCATTATGTGTTTTTATATGTCATACACCCTTAAAACCTCCAACACTGATGATCAGTGTATTTAGCGATTAGATCTTATGGGCTGCAGAATGAGGCTCTGCTATTTCTAGCTGTTATTCACTACTTTGCTGACCCAAACCCCCAGTAACTAAAGCAAAACAAAAGACCATCAGGAACATCGGGAGATCCTAAAGCCCTACATAAAAGATAATTGCATACTCAGGGAAAAAGCCTGGAACAGATTAGCCTGTGAGCAGTAGCTAATTATTTCATGCTAGCTCTCCCTGGGAACGCTCTTATTCTGCACTCGCAGCGTCTTTACACTGTTTAGTTTAATCCATTTTGGAAGCTCTGAGAGAGCCAAATAATAACCTGTCAGGTGATGTAAGCCCTTCTAGCTTTACTTGAGCTAAATCAGCGCACAGAGCTGAGGATTCAATCCCTTCTCTCCTGCCACGTCCGGCAGAGGTGGCACCAGGCAGTGGCTGTGCCGCCACCTACCGTAGGTTTTGCATAGCACCGCTTGGTCTGCAGGAGCCGTTCCGGTAATTCTTCCTACTGAAATGCAGCCTCGGCTACACAGCCTTCGCTCCCAAATTACACATCTACCTAACGACCTCGTCCTGCAGTCCTCACTCGGGCACAATTCACGCTGCAGACTGCAGGTTAGCTGCTGCTAATTAAGCATCACATACTGCGTCACCATTCTTCAACTAAGGTCTGCGCTGTAAATGGAAAGGTCACGAGCTTCATAGACTTTTAATTGCCTTAAAAGTCAATTAAAAATAGCATACTACTCAAAAATATACTGAAGTTTTCCTGTGCTGGTTTACATCATGCGGCTCCAATGCCTGCTGCCCTTCAAACCCGAAGACTTCCTCCCTCTTTCTAGATGGAGGACAGGTCTGAATCTGGACTTGTGCAGCTCTCTCCATTTTTACGTAAGGCTAAAGATCCTGTTGGTCATCCCAGATGTCAGGTTGCAGCAAAAGCATTTCATCTACTCATTGGAGAGTTTTGGGATTTGTTCTCCCCCCAAAAAATACTTCAATCTCCAGAAGGCAGTACAGCTGCCTACCAGCTGCCCTGGTTCATGCATGCAAAGGTCCCCAACAAAAACGGGCAAGGGACTTGACATCTGTGGTGCTAAGGGATGAGTTAGTACTTTAGTACTGAGCTGTTGTCTTTCAGAGCCCAAGGTTTGGCTATAAGGATCAATAGAACAAAATCTGCAAAGACTCCTGCTTGTATCTACCTACAAATAGACTCCAGCTCTGCTGTATGCTGCTTCCTTCAGCCTTCTGACAGCGTTGTCAGCAGCCACCTCCGTTCCTGCTGCCCTATAGGTAGAGAAAGGCTGATGGAAGAGTTCCAGGCAATCAAGTTGGAAAGCATCTGCCAAAGTAAACTTTTATTTAGTGCACTCTATGCAATACTTACACAGCAGAGCTACTAATGCTTCTTGAATAATTTTAAAGGCTCAGAACTATATTCTGTGTTTATTCTGACTTTCTCCAACTGTTCTTCTTACTTGACAGTGCTTAACTGGCAGGCAGCCATGAAAGCTGTTGCCTAATTACACTACATATCATGATCTTAGAGCACTGCAGATAAGGCTTCATGTCAGCATAAATGGATTCTAAACATTAGTGTAAGGGAAAATCAGCCCCCAAATTAAATTTCAAGCACAGTCTTGTGTTCCAATAGTCACTATTATGAATTTAGGGAAGCAGGGTATTGAAGGAGGAGGTCCTATTAGGGATTAAATAGCCTCTGATGCTAAGTAGGCTCCAGTTCAGGGAGCTGGCTGGCCAACCCTTTATGCATTGCAGAAATTTATTCACGTGTAATCACACATTTTTAGATTACCTTAAAGATACTGCATATTTGCATGGAATCAAAGTCTGGCTGGGAATTGTGGTGGCATTATGGCATTCTGATTACACAGCTACAGGAAGTGTTGATAGGTAGAGATTTTTAGTTGCTTGCAACACTGTACTGTGCAGACATCCTTGAAATTAAGATCCAGCAGATAAAAGCACACAGCCTGTGTGCTTTTACAGAAAGCACAATTTCACATTGGAAATTATTGTAAGTATTAAAAGAGTAAGATGATACAACTGTTCAACCTGTCTTCTGCTAGCAGAAGTCTAACTGTTTTTTGCTGAAGTATGTTACACATAACATATTGCAAGTGGGTTAGCTAGCTGCATGCTGTAGGACAACAGGAATCCCTTCTTCAAGTTTACTGCACGTAAACTTGAGAAACAGGATACAGCTACGTATAACACAGTGATTGGTTTGCACTTATATGGAATACATTCTTCTCTCTTTCAGTAGATGCTCTGCAGATGTGAAAAAAATAACCACGACATCTCCAAGAATGTCAGTTTTCTTTCTGATGCATTGATTGGAAACTAGGAAAACCAATCATATCCCACAGTTATACAGAGTTGTTTTCTGCATGCAGACTGAAAGTAGAAAGTTGTATATATGCATTTTGGTTTATTCTTCCTCTTACTGGTGAGATCTCAGAGGAACTCATGAATGTTTGCAGCTTTACTCATTGAACAGCTCTGCTGGCTCACTGTGGCTGCTGAGAAGAGCATTTACCTCTGAATGCACTGTTGTCAGGTTGGGCTCCTCACAGACTGTGCTGCAGTGGTCTTTTATGCAGCATGGCTCTGTGTTTGCAGAGATGCGCACAAAGATTTCAGAATCCCATATTTGGGGAATCATGGTGTCCTCTACAAAAAACAATTATCTGAGAGATACAGTGCTAAGACCTGGTTCTAAACAAACTTGTCAAAGTGTTCAGTGCAGCTCTGTTTTTCAAGAACTTGGCTTTCTAGGAAATACAAAAGGGAGGTGGTAAGACACAGCTGCCTTGACATCTAAAGCCTTTATGAACATGAAGGGCATGAAAAAGTACAAAGTTGCAAGGTGGAGCAAACAAAGCAGTGACATATGATACATCAGCCTCCTCCCTAGTTCTATGCCTACATTATGGGTATTTAATAGAAATACAGCAGTATTAACTGTGATGGCTGTCATACAGAAGGGCAACCTGCTGAAGTACTCTGTATTTGACACATTAGCTAGCCAGAGAGCTACTTAAGCCTCCTCAAGTTGTTTTAATTTAACAGATTTATCCCCAGGTTTCTCTGGATTTATGAAGAGCAACCCCATGACCAAGGAGTGGTGCTCCACCACTGGAGCCCAACACTCGCAAAACAGAGCTGACTTCTTCAGCATGCTCCTGAAGTGGGATGCAGTCACTGAAAGAATTACTATGCAATATATTGTGATTTACTATAGTTGCTTCAGTTTGAGACTGCACAGGCAAGAAAACCGAATGAAGGTTACATTTCCAGCACTGACAGCCAGAAATACATTACCAGAAGCACGCTATTACTAAAAACCTAATTCGTCCTGCAGAAAATCTCGAAAGAACAGCCATGGGAACAGCCGCACGACTTTTACTTTGAAACCGTTTCTCTCCGGGCAGAGACTGACAATGAGATGCGTGTGAGGTCCGCGCGGTCCCGCCGCAGCCGCTCGCCATGCAGCGCTCCGGCTCCGGCGCTGCCGCCTGAGGAGCTCCTGCCCGGGGGGAGCGCGGGGCGGACGGCCCCGGTGCGGCGCGGGGAGGAGTGCGTGCGTGGGGGAAATCGATGCATTGTTTTAATAGAGCGTTCTCGTCAAGGCGCGTTAATGACAGGGGATAATGGTTTTCATATTCGGGAGACAATGCTCCCCCCCAACACACACTCCGCGCCACATCCTCACAAATCTTTCTAATTTGCTCTTCTGCCAGGCAGAGAAACAAACTGTGCTCGGCGAAGCCATTTGCAAAACAAACGCGTCCGGGGAGATCTGCGCGCCCGTGCCGGCGGCAGCTCCCGGAGGAGTCCACCCCGAGCAGCCCTCCGCGCCCCCTGCCCCGCTCCCTCCCGGGCCGGGGCAGCCGCGGTGCGGGCGCGGCGCTGAGCCGCGGCGTGGCGGAGCCGTACTTACTGAAGGGGCAGTTCTCCTTCTTGGTGCCGCTGACCTTGCCGTTCTTCTCGATCTTGAGAAAGTATTTGTTGTAAGAGTAGAGCTTCCTCTTGCGCACGTCTCCTTGGAGGTGATTGTAGCTCCGCACGTGTCTCCCCGCACTGGAAGGAGAGGAGAAGGACGAGGGGAAGGAGGAGGATGATGAAGAAGAAGAGTTGGTGGCCTCCGGGGACAGCATGTCCTGGCCGAGGTCATGGCAGGTGACAGGCACAGAAGACACCAAGAAGAGCAGCAGCAAGCAGCAACAAGGCAGGTGGGAAAAGGCTGAGGCACCATTTGTCAGTATCCATTTGCACATTGTACTGAAACTCTGGGCGCTGGAAAATGTCTTATCAAAAGAAACATACTGGATGGGTAAAACCTGGTAAAAGGCAAGTGGAGAGCCGGTGGTTGCTGCTTCTGGTTAGATCCCTCTGAGCTCTGATCTGGCCTGAAGTAAGTGCACCAACATCCATAACTCAGGGGACAGATCGCCTCAGAAGTTGCTGCCTTTTAATCCTTCGAGTCCTCCCTCAGAAAAAAGAGCTGTTGGTGTTTTGGGGGGGGGTTGCTGTGGTTAATCCTCTTTCCTTTTTCTCTTCCCCTCCCTACCCTCCCCCCACCCTCTCCCCCCCCCCACATACACACACACTCCCCAACCTGATTTGAGACTTCCCAGTAGTTATTTTGCTCTCTTCCTCACTCCTTTCTTCACCATCTTAGATGCAGAAAGGTCTGAAAAATAGATGACAGCAGAATGAACAACAACAACAATAAATAAAAACCAGCGGAAAGGGGTGCTGGAAGGGATTTTTCACACACACCCCTTTACACACACACTCGCACTCACACTTTGTGGCTTTGCACCTTCTTCTGATCCCCACCCCCTCGCCCTCTTGGAAATCCCAAACCAGTTGCACAACTCGTCCTTTCTCACTGACAACCCCAGAGGAGGCAGTTTCTTTGTTTTGCTTTGAGTTCTTCAGCACAGTATAAAAAAAAAAAAAAAAAAAGTGGTATCCAAACAAAAAAACCTCACCAAAACAGAAAGAAAACCCAGAGAGAGAGAGAGAAAGAGAGGAAAAAATCCCAACTTGTCTCTTCCCTCCCCTCCTTCCCTTTCCTTCCCTTCCTTTCCCTCCCCTTTGGTTGTAAACAGGTTGGAAGCTGTAGCCTAAATGTCAGCGATTACAAATCAGAGGTGGGATGTGCCTCTGGTGGTCAACCCTTATTTGCAGGAGGTCAAGCAGCGGTGGGACATCTGAAACTGTTTGCAGTTGGAGCGAGCAGTGCCTGCTGCGGAGGGAGCCCCAGGAGCTGCCCTCGCTTCCTCCCGGGCTGCAGCGGCAGCGGCAGCAGCCGCCGCCGCCTTCGGCTCGCTGCTAATTGGTCCTAAAGCGCTCCGCTCCTCGGAGTGCTGGCCACCAGCATGGCTTGGAGACTCATGCCTTACTAATTTCCCTGTCTTGCAGGCTGAACCAATCCCCTCCAGGGAGGCTCCCCCCGGATCAGCCAAAAGAAAGGAAAATAGTAAGGCATGAGTCAAAAAGAAAAAAAAAAAAAAGAAACTTGTTTTCTAGCGGAGGATTTTATTTTATTTTTTTGGCAGCGGAGCGGTTGAGAAAGCCACCTGGAGCTTGTTGCCTGCTAGACCCCCCCCTCCCCCCTGCTGGAGGAGGGGTTGGGTGGAAAGGTTGGGAAGAAGTACATGCTGCAAGCAGACCCTGCGAGAGGAGATTATATGCTGGTCGGAGAGAGTAAAAAGGGGAAGAGACATAATTAGCTCCTTTTCCTTCTTCTTTGCCAGCTTCCATGGAGGTCTTTCTCCCTCCTTTAATGAATCACTGATTTCTCACTTCCGTTGCTGAAATAAAAAGTTCGCACTTTAGCCTGCTCTTCCTTTTAAGCCTCTCAAGATTTATTGTGTCTCTTTCCCCACCCTCACCCTCCTTGTCTCAAAAGAAATCGGGGCCCTAAATGACCATTTTCTAATTGCTAACATGAGTCATTTACTGAATCACGCGTATGACTTCAAAGCAAAAGGCGATTTATTGGGATGGCAAAGGTTTCCCCTATAAAATCTGTCTGAATGCTTTTCTCTCTCTCTTTTAATATTATTATATTATTAAAGCAGTTTCCTTTGCCAGAGAGGAACAAATATTCCATCTCCAAGGCTATTTTAAAGTGATTTTTCAAGCTATTATTTTCCTGGACAGGCATATGTTGTTGTTTTTCTCCTTTGATTCTGTCTCTCTTAATGGATTTGTCACTTCACAAACTGAATGTTATGACAGATTCATATTTCTATCCCGTCACCAAACTGTCAGCCTTCCAAGTAATTAACAGGCATCTTCCATATGATGTACTATCTTTTAACACATAATGCATGATAGGGGTCTGACAGGATATGGGCAAGCATTGCTAGACGTTGAGTGTTGGTTCAATATTTAGTATTGTAAAATAATGGTTCTGGAATGCAAGTAGGTGGAACTGGGGGCACAGAGCAGTGGAGAAGTGAGCTGCTAGAGAAACACAGCAAGTTCCTTGATATGTAAAACCAGAACTTTTGTGAAATGGAGGGAGTTTAATAACGCAGATCAGTGGGATGCAGTGGAAAACCGCCTATGCAATTCATGTGGCATTTGGAGTCAATCTTCATTTAAGGAACAGAAAATGTAGAAAAGAACAAATAGCTCTAAAATTAGACTGGTTCATTAGATTAGGATGTTAAATATATTGTTAGCTTCACAACAGAAATTAGAAATGATTTTCTCCAATTATGGTGTTTATTCTGGAGAGAGTTAGCTCTTAAATTTATGTTCTCGGCTTCTGGGGGTGACATTTAAACAGCCTTAAAAATGAAACCATTTAATGTTAAAATCAATATGTTTTATGATGTTGTTTATGGTTCTTTGGAATATTTATTCTGCACGTATTTGCACTAAGTGCAGAACACGTCAGAAAATTTCTAGTGATTCTGTCTTAGGCTTTTCTTTTGTAGCATTTAATGAAAAAAAAATAAAACCAAAATGAAAAGGAAAAGCCTTCTCCTTGGAGAGTGCCTGGGGAATTACCATCAGTGTTCACTTAGTGTCCTGCGTACAGCTTACCGTCTCTGAAACTGATGTTCTTTTGATTCCAACAGTTTAAATAGTAATTTATCATCACAATGTCTTAAATTATACATTAGATGAAGCCTTCCATTTTTACTCTTTTTCTTGTCAGATGTTGAAAAATGTGAGGAAGATGCATTTCAGGATCTTTTGGCTAGAGAAAATAGCAGTGTGAGGGTCGAACAGATATATTTAACACCCTTCCTTTCTAAAATGGGCACTCTCTTGAATTTTATTCAAGAATAGTTCTTATACCTATTCCTACCTTAGTTGTTGATTGTAAGATCTTGTGGTTAAGTACAAAACTGCATACCTGCTTCTGGCAGGTGCAGTATTCAGCACAGTGTTCTGCACATACAGTGCATAGAGTCCTTTTTTATCCCGCGTGATGACAGGGAGGGCATTTACAAAACAGAGTCCCAATGAAAAGCTGACATAGCTTTTTAGATTATATCTCATTCTTTTTTCTCCTTTCTGTATAGTCTTTCTTTTGCAGCACAGTTGAATCTCTAAATACCCACTACTTTGTATTGTTGGGTCACCTCTTGGGTTAGCCTGAGAAAGCCTGAGAACAGTTCCACAGGAAAGATGCACTATTTAACGGAATTCAATCTGTCCCAATAGATTTGAATCACTAACATAAATGTATGAATGTAGATTATATCTCTGTAATGAGGCCTGAATCATTCTCAGTTACTTCAAAGGACTGAAATTCAACCTCCCTTTTTAGCAGCAACAATCAGACCTTAATGGGTTCCTTTATTAATTGTTCCATTGGTAAGTTTGAAAAGCAGCTACCTTCAGTCCGAGTCCTGGGCTAGAAATGGTACTTGCTGCTTCTGAACAGAGCTTCTCTTTTCCCTCCCATGCTCTAAGATTTTATGAAAAGTTTTCCTTGCTGCAGTTTTAGACATGCTCAATACCCATCACGCTGAGAATGGAAAGAAAAACCTTTCTAAAATGTGCAAAAATTGACAACGTGTTTTAATGATTTTCCTTTTGGGCTGTCCTCTTGCCAAGAGATGTTCAGGGAAATGAATGGCACTGGTAAGTTTTAGGGGAAATAGTCTCAACACAATATGTTCTTATGATACTTGTAGCAATTCTTTATGTCCTGTTTTTGTGCTTGGTCAGCAAGTGGGGAATGTTTCATTTTTGGTTATTTTTCTTTCCTGTGCAATTAATTGACCTGAATCCAAGAAGAAGTACTTTAAGATAGGTGAAATAGATTTTTTGCCATATATTATTTCCCTTCGGTAAGACATTATCTTTTTTGATGTTGTAAATATGCCTTTGAGTGTTAATGTAATCAACTCACTCTGAGATGTCACCAGCCCCTCAGGTTGAATTGCCAGATAGCAATCGTGACCACTTGCTGCTGCAGTACGCTCAGAGAGGCACATGCATCTTCGGTCTGATTCTGTTCTTACTTAAAGTGGTGGGAAATCTGCCAGTGATTTCATTGAGAGAGATCTGGGCCAGGAACATCGCTAGAGGAGAGCTACTCCTGCCAGAAACAAGGAGTGCCAAACAACAACGGTGGCTCAGATGCCTCCATATATATGGAAGTTAAAAACTGCTGAACTTGGCAGTGCTGTAAAACACTGATCTCACTTGTAAGGAAAAAGCAGTGGCACGTAGAATCCACAGTCACCAGCCAGCACTGAGACAAGACGTTTGGCTCAAGATGCAATGTACTTGTGGAAACCTTTTCACTGAGTAAAGAGTTTGTGCCCAGCAACAGCAGGGATTAAAGGCCATTGCATTTTGTCTGATTTAAATGTGAAATAAAGCATGAAAGAAACAATCATTGCGGTTGTCTCCTTCTGGGAAATATATAACATTGGCATTATTATATTTGTCCTTGTTTTTCACCTTGTGATACATCTCTGTGCCATTCAAAAAGTGTTCAATTACTAATATTATTCTATTTTTATGTACAGAATGAGATATAAAATAAACCCTTAAAACATCAAGGAGGAAGGTTGAATGAGAGGAGACTCACCCATATGCCACATGAAGCTGGAATAAGAGATACAATGGCAGAATACTATATTAGCTGTCCATAGTGGGATTTTGTAGAATCGGACATAGTGCTAGGCTGCTCTTTGCATATTCCTTCCAAACGGAGCATCCAAAACCTGGATGCTCTAGCAGAGCCTATGTAGAGATTAATAAAATGGCTGTTCTAACATTTAACTTCAAAACCATTTGTGTTTCTAGGTTAGATGTAACAACTGACAAGTGCATAAAGACCCTGAGGAAAACAGAATTTAGCTCAGGCAAACTTGGTTCCCCTCAACTCAGACAATCACCGTAAGGCCAGGTGCCTTGCCTGTGCTGCTGTGAGTTCTCATAAAAAGTGAGATCTCTCTGAGATCTGCTGGCAAAATGAAGGATTTGCTGGGCTGGCATGGCTGCTGGCAACAAGTAACCATCTGTGGCACACACTGAGTCTTACAGCACAGAACCAAAGCAGGGCTGTTCCTAGAACTATGCAGGTCAACTCCATCTGAGTAGATATATGAATTACGGGACCACAGGATTTAGACTTTGGGCTCTACCCCGTTACTTAGAATGTGTTTGTCACTCTTGGTTGTATTGACAAAGCTGCCTGAATGCTGTATTTCAAGCAAATTAAGAAAACTGTTTTTTCTTTTTAAAATGCTAATTATGGCACTTCTCTTAGAGGATGTTATGCGTGACAAAAAAAATTTAGTAAGAGGTCTGAAAACAATGTGTGTGTGATATTTAAAATATCCACGTGATTTTTGCTTGATAAATACATCTTACAAAAAAAATAAAAATAATAAAAATAAACGCATTCTACTGAGGTCAGCTAAAGGAGAGTATAGGCTCCAGAGACTGAGCTGCAGTCCCATAAATAGCTATGCGCATGGCTTAGACACTGACCGTGTTTAGTAATGGTCTGCTGGCAGCCAGTTTTATGTACTCTGCAGCACAAAAATGATTAAAAAGGCAATATTTTCAAAAAATCACTTTAATCTTAGAGGATTTGTTTTTCTTTCTAATTTCATACAGAACTACCATTACTACAAGGCATGTAAATGCCCTCTATAAATATGCGTAATTGGGATTAAAGCTGTCAGAAATGGCCAGGAAGGGGCAAATGTCAGGTAGGTTTTGTGGAATTCTTTTTTTATTTTTTATTCTTTTCCACCCAGACTCATTCTCATCTAAGCTTACATTCTCCATGGGAAAACCAATATGGCTGAGGAAACAGGACATGATGGGATGAGAGGTTATGTCTTTAAGTTGCAGCAGGGGAGGCTCAG